GAAGTTTTGAATGGCTCCTTTCAATTCCTTCAGTGCTTTACAGCAGTTCCCAAAGCAATCTAACGTGGCCTGTGAATACATTTCAGTTATATATTTATAGTTAATATGGTGTTTATAGCTTTATTGACTCGGAGATATAGACTGAACTTATGCACACAGCTGCTGTTAAATGGAAAAGAGATGGAACAAATAGGTTAGAACTTTATCACTCTATGCTTGTATGCCAGACTACATGACTGGGATAAGATAAGAGAACTCCCCACATAAGCACAATCAGTAAATCTGGTTATCCAACTTTAGTTTGCTACCTAACAAGACAGTGCTTTAGTTGTTGTTTTTTTTTTTTTTTTTTTAATAGAATTGGTGCTTCTAATGTATACTTACTTCTCTTGAGCTCTCTCTCTACTAAGGAAATTTTTCATTTTGTTTAAAAAAAATTAGGCCCATCAATTGCTTTCAATTCATACATTCAGCCTGCATGCAATTTTAGTCTGAGATCACTGCCTTACAGTATGCATTTACATTAATGGTCTGACCATGAAGCATAAACTTGGCCATGATTGGATGGATCATGTTTGTTCCAAAGCATAGTAATCATTGTCTTCAGAGCAGAAAAAATTCATTTGTCTTTTTGAGGAGGTAGAATTAAGGGGGAGCTGTAAGAGAACATACTAGGCAAACTAGGCTCAGCCTACTGAGCCTTCTTTGCACACATTTTTTTTTTTTTTTCCCTCTAATGAACAGGTGACAGCAGGGCCAGAAACCCGTATGGCTTTCAAAGACTAATCGGGTATAGTAAGGGACCCGCTCCATCTAGAGCATAACATGTTTACAACATAAAATACGTAGCGTTGCATTACCTACATGACAGCTGGACATTGCATGGCGACATAACATAGCTCAGCATAGACATGACATGGCATAGCATTTCGGCATGACATAGTATAGAATATAGTCATTGCATAGCGACATAACCTATTTACAACATTAAATACACAATGTAATGTAACTTACATGACAGGTGTACATAGTATAGTGACATAACATATTAAGGTTACATATGTACAACATACATTTCGCAGTGTGGCATGACCTATGTGACAGGTAAACATTCATGGTGACATATCATAGCGTAGTGTAGACATAACATGACACAGCCTTGTAACATGATATGACATAGCATAGCATAAGGATTACATATTTACAGTATTAAATACACAACGTAACTTAACTACATGAAAGGTGGATATAGTGTAGCAACATACAATAGCATCTCATAGACAAAAATACACAGCATCATATCGCCCACACGTCATACAGAACATAGCCTTGCATATGAATATAGCATGGAGGCATATATATCGACAAAATATTTTTACAACAAAACAAAATATATATATATATAAATAAATAAAAAGCATAACATGACCTGTACAACAGGTGGGCATAGACAAAAGTAATTGAACATAGCATATACATAACTTTGCATAGCATAGCGACATGACATAGTTTGGCAACTTAACATCATGACATAACGTATTTACAATAACATCATGGCATAACGTTCTGTAAGTTACTGTATTTGATTCTTAGCCTTTGTAATTATGTATATTAGCTTTAGGAAAAATTTTAAAACTTTAATTTAATTTAGTTATATAACACTCATTAGTATTATAACGCTCATTTTCAATTGTTTAAATATCCATTTCTTTTTTAATTAATTCTCATTTAATTTAGATTTCTATCTTTAAATTAATTTGTGCATATCCATTCTTAAGAAATTCCTTGCATTTAGACTGTTAGCGCTTTTGTACTAAATTTTTTTAAGTTGGCAGTTCGTTTTTTAATTCATTGTTTTTAGCCCAAAGGGCTATTAATTTTGTTTTGGCATTTTGCATCGAAAACTTTAAATGTTTGTTTCCCTTTTCAAATTGTTACCAACAAATATTATACAGTGTCACGTAAATATTATACTACCAAATATTATACAGTGTTACAGCAAAAATATACAGTGTTACATAACCAACACAAATTTGCATATTATTACTAAACACTTTGCCATATGGCATTCTCTGAACATGACGTATTGTACACTATGAATAAATTTCAAATCATAACGTACTGCTGTATAGTATTAACAACCTTACATGGCCTACACAACATTGCATACAGAAACATAACTTTTTGTGAATTAGCACAAAAAGACAAAAACAGGACGTCAAGCAGTACATATGGAGTGTTACCAGGCATATAAAAATAGACTTACTAAGTGAATAATTAGCTGCACATAATTTAGCTCACTACTTGGAGCTTCTTAGACATTATTTTGCTTGACACAGCTCTTGTCCAAGTGCTTTGAGTTTATCCATTATTATACATTTGATTTTCTTTATAAATGCTGGTTGCTTTGTTAGGAAGTGCTTGAATGGTACCTCAGAAGCACCAAAACTAATGTGCCATTTCCGTGTTAAAGGGCATTCCACAACATAATGATCGGGCAACCCTTCATTGCTGCAGAGACAGATAATTGGTGGTAGATATGCCTCTGTCTTTGAAATAAGACGGAAAAGGTCCATGATCCATTATGAAGTGCGTGAGGTAGGGTGCAGAGATAACCCGGTCTGTCATCACTCTGTGTATAAAGTCATGAGTTCCCGGGCCTTGTTGGATTGTATACATTCCTCCTGCCACAGGCTTAGGGCTGTTTCCCGCGCTTCCCTTTTTAGGTGCGATTTCAGCAGTAAAAATGTGGCACAGTATAAGAAATACTTCAGTACCATGGAAACTTATAAGGGCTGTTCATACAGGGTTTGACACCGTGGAGCAGTGTTGCCAGAAATCTTTCAACTAAAGTAGTAAAAGCCTCAAAAATCGCAAATGACATCAGAGATCACATAACTTTTGTGGTGTCATAGTTTCACATGACCTCTGATGTCATCACATTTACTGTCTATTGGTTCTGTAAGTTACTGTATTTGATTCTTAGTCTTTGTAATTACATATATTAGCTTTAGGAAAAATTTTAAAACTATATATAGTTATATGACACTCATTAGTATTATAACACTCATTTTTAATTGTTTAAATATCCATTTCTTTTTTAATTAATTCTCATTTAATTTAGATTTCTATCTTTAAATTAATTTGTGCATATCTATTCTTAAGAAATTCCTTACATTTAGACTGTTAGCACTTTTGTACTAAATTTTTTTAAGTTGGCAGTTCATTTCTTTAATTCATTGTTTTTAGCCCAAAGGGCTATTAATTTTGTTTTGGCATTTTGCATCGAAAACTTTAAATGTTCATTTCACTTTTCAAATTGTTACCACCAAATATTATCGCCTTGTGTTATATTTAAAGAAATTAAATAATGAAGAATCTGAATAAATGTGAGTATGCTTATCGCACTGTGATAAAGCAACAGCACCTGGAGCCATCAGATTTTGAATAACATAATCCTCCATCAATATGGGCATCTGGAAGCCCTAATTTGGAATTGTTTTATTATCGATTTAATATTTTACAACAGTTTAACAAATTTTTGATTAACAAACTGAACGATTTCAAAGTGAGCAATGGCAACACTGTATGGGAGGGGGAAATTTTCTCTTCAGTGCACGAAACTGTATATCAAAAACTCTAAAGATATGCTCATTTAAAAATTACTTTGTAATATTGCTATTGAATTGAATTTTATGGTTTAAGTGTGAAGAATATCATGTTTAATAAATAAAGATAACACACAAAACGGTAAGTAATGCCCATTTGGTCGTAATATAAAATCTGAAAGCTTTCAGTCTCCCCCTTAACATTATGATTAAGGAATGCTTTTCAGTGAGATTTCTGTTCTGCATGGCAGATTTATTTCAAATTCTGATTACTTAAAAAAGCCTTGTTCTTACACTGTTAAATTTATTTGTGTTGTTATTTAGAAAAGTGTCATTACTTTGCTTTTTAAGTCATTTCTATTGCATAGTTCTTAGCAATATTATAATTAGGGGAGTGAATTTCATTTCTTTCTCTCTTTGGTATTCAGTATATGGCACGCAAGCTGCGAGTTCTTTTCTTGGATTCATTATCACCATAGAACCTGGGGGGAACTAAAAAACAAAATGCATGGGGAAGGTGAGAGGTCCTGACACTTTTTTTTTTTTTTTTTTTCCCCAATTTGCCCCTTCCCTTACCCCCTTCTCATTATACCAGCATCAGGCTGCGCAGCCTTGAAAAGAAAAGCCCACATGTATACAAGATTGCCAGATGCCGACTTCTATTTAAGCCTAAATAAACTGCTTTTATATAAAAATTATTTTTAATTGATACATTATTTTTAACATAAAAGTATTTTACGATATATTAAAAAATCTTTGAAGTTGCAAAAAGTAGCATAAGAAAATGATGGATGTCGCAAAATCTCAAATACTAAGAGTTTAGTTGCACAAGGTTGTCAAAAGTCTCAAATTTGCAAAAAATTGTATGATCTGGCAACATTGCCGTGATGCAGTTTATCAACTGTGGGAAAGACTCTGTATGGAATAAAGGGTATATCTTTTATTTCCTCCAATTGAGTCCATTTGAAATAAAATGTTTTTGTTCATCCTACTTCTTTTGCTTTTCTTGTTATCAAAAAAGATATTGCTTTCTGGGTGTGCCTTGTATTAATGATAGGTTCTCTAAATATATAAATTTTGTGAATAATTATTTTTTTGATAACATTCCCCTCAAGGGTTGATATTTGGATTTCTGCCCCTTCGTTTAGCAATTTTATCAGTCAATTTCTCTTTATTTGAAAAGTTATTGTACATAGGATTTTAAAGTATAAAAAACAATTTGAATGCTGAAGGCTATTGTGAACTATGTAACTTGTGAAACTTGTAACTTGTGAAATGTAATGATCTTATTGTAGTATTTATGTAAGTTAGCACTTTAATGTTTTTATAATTTTTTTAATGGATTAAGATTTTCTGTTACTTTATAGATGTTAAAAATTTCTTAATCAATAGGAAAGTGATGGAGAATATGAAGGGGAAGATGTAATTAAAGATGATACTTCAGAAGATGCAGAACTGCGAAGGAGAGAAGTAGGGCATCCTGAAAGTGCACAAGATTAGTGATAAAAATGTGACTTACTGTGTTCCATCCTGTGATTCTGAGTTGTGAAAATATGCATAAAATTGTAGCAATATTTTTATAACAGCAGCAAATAAAAAGATGATTCAAAATCTGCATCATTAAAAGTCTGTTTAAATTTATTTGTAATGCTGAATTTGTAAAAGAAATTTACTTCAAATCAGAATCAACCTGTGTAATAATACAAATAGATGAAATGTTTTCTTGTTTACTAAATGAAAAGAACTAAAATACTAAATTAAATACATCTGAAGTATTTGAAATATTTCAGTAAACTCTGTTTGTTGGCTGGCTTTGTGTGTTTTGAAAAATAAGAATAATAATAGCTGAAGAATCATGTACAGGCATGGAAGTTTTCCTTAATTTGGAAGTAATTCTCTTTTGTTAAGTACTTTGGGTATTTTTGAAATAATTCTAAAAACAATGTCATGTGAAGGGAAATTAACTATACCTATGCATTGTCTTTTTTCAGTCTATGTGTTTCGCCTGTGTCTTGCATAATTTATTAAAAGGATCATAAAATACATCAGTGAGATGTGTGACTGCCTGGATATTTCATTAAATTTCTTCTAATAAGTTTCAAAAAAATAACATTCAATATATATACAGTTTTTCTCTTTAAAATTTGTTTCTTTAATAAATTCAAGCATTTCTGAGTTAAAGCCCTTATTCATGTCATTTTTATATTATACAAACTTAGTGTGGAAATTTTGAAATTTGGGTAAGTTATTCATTTTCGTCAGTAACTATCTGTAATTCATTTATATTTCTTGATTGCCTTTAATATATATAACTGTAGTTTTAAATTTTGAGATTTAATTGAGTTTATTTTGAAAACTGAAAGCCAGTTTTACCTTGGTTACTCAATTTCACTATTTTTAAGAAGTTTGTTGTCATTTAATAACTCAGCCTGCAAATCAAAATGTATTAATAATTAATGAATTTTCAGAATTTCTAATTGTTTTCATCAGCATATGTAATTTTTTGTTCGTGGGAACATTTATTTCACTTCAGATATTTGGACACCTTGGCATCATTTGTCATGGCAGCTGTGAAACTTATAGAATAGTTTCCTTATATGCAAAGAAATGCAATTTTTAAAACTGTATAAAAAAGACAGCCTTTTAAATTGACTCTCATGCCTGGAAATAATTTCTTTAATGAAATTTAAGGTAATGGTGTGCAAGCGTGAGTGCATTTGTTAAGTGAAGTTTTAAAGTACATTTCAGATAGCTTGCTCGTCTAAAAATAATTTATAAGAATATATGCTTGTGTTATTGGTCCTAAAATGTGCTTATTGCTTTTACACTCACAGCCTCCATTTGTTGCAGAAATTAAGATCAAATGAGAACTTAATCAAAAAAAAATGGAATTGAGGTTCTTTCAACTAAGTGCATTACTTGTATTTCTGGTAATTTTTCTAAAAAGGAAATAAATTGTTAACTATATTTCATTAAGTATTGTTGAAATATCTCAAATGCAAAATTTCTTTTTTAACTCTGTTTTTTACAATATTAATATTTTTATTCTATAATATACTGCTAATATTGATTTGAAAGAACTGCTGCAGTCAATAATGTATACAAATGGTCTAACATATACAAATTTTGAGGTATTAAGAACTTAAAATTAATGTTTATCAAAAATGTATTTTGTTTCTCAGATTTACTTTGACTTTATTATGAACTTATGGGAATATGTGATTATTTGAACTGTAATTTATTACTGACAGGTAAATCAATGCCCAGTTCATTATCTCTTGTAAGAACAAATATATTAAACTTGTATAAAGCTTTCTTACTGAAGGGTTTGCAAATGAGTACGGTCATATTTTATATTTATCTTTTTTATAATTATAATAAAGTTGATCTTTATGAAAAGTTGTTTGGATGTCATTTTCTTTACACATTTTTGAAATTAAGATGATTTATTATGCTTACTGAGTTTCTTAACTATAGCTAAAGTATTTGCTTCTTCAAATAGTGGTGTCTGGTCACAGGTCCCATTAGCCCAATGATATTACTAGAAAAATGAACAAGTGAATGTACAGAGTTGGCAAATAGTTCCTTTACATGTTACTCCCATGGGCACCATTAGACATATAGATAAGCACTATTATAAATAAATAAATAAACAGTATTTTTTAAAATTTCAACATCTCTTATGGATAATGATGGTCTGATGTTAACCCTGCCATAGTCATAACATGCAGCAAATTGCACTTGATTTCCTCATAAAAGTGCAGAGTTTTTTGTCCTAAAATGATGTTATAATTTTTTGAGCTATGGTAAAGCATATGTTTGTCAGAGAACATAACGTTTTTCTGATTACGTGCATGCAGAAAGTGTACAAGCATTTAACATGCATGCACACATTTCTCCAAATCACAATCACTCAACTCACTAGGAATGGCCAAAAACATGAAACATTCAAGTCTTTCTGCATGTGATCTTACATAGTCGGTCACACAATGCCTAATTCTGCAGGCCACTTCTCTATGCAGATCATTCAATTGATTCTGCCACAGTGGCAGAAGTTTCTGGCTTTCTGCTATGTGGTGCAGTGAGAACACTTTCTGTTGCGAAGTTTTTGGCTCCCACGTAAATAATATTGGTCTTGAAGGCAGCAGTTTTTCAAGCCACATAGTGAAGTCCCTCAAAATGTCTGTCATCATCTTTATCTTCTGACATTCGTGAACCTATCCAGAAGCCACCAAACACTCCTCAACAGTGAAAGCGCTTTTATCCACCATAATTTAATTCTCTAGGCTGAATGCAGTAAATTGTGTTCTTTCTATACCAACCGAAGTGAAAGTGATATGCATAGGTCTCCTATTATCTCAGGAAATTCTAATTGCTACAGTCTGTAACTGAAGAAAAATATTGTTTATAGGAAATAATAACAGAGTCAGTCTGCTGAACACTAGTAAAAAATACACTGTTTTCGTATCATTTTTGTATTCAGAACCAATGACATGGAAATGGACTTTTCACCCACCCTATATGTAATGTTGAGTGACTTAAATAAACTGTACTTACATCTAAAGACTAAAACAAGTGACAGATGTTCAAATTTGGCAAGAAGCCTACCAGTGTGCAATTTAAACAAGCAGTCTTAGTTTGATACAGATTTTGAATAAAACATTATCAATTTTCAAGGGTAATCAGAAACATGACTCTCTTCTTCAGGAACAAAAAGTGTTTTGTTAAGAATAGGATGAAGCATAATGATTTGATATGAGAAACAACGGGTGAAGCAAAGCAACATGTTTACCTTTCATTCTTTGCAAAGAGATTTTTGCTTATGAAGAAGCTGGACCAGTGTCTGATTGGCCTTAAAATTGATAAACGTTTTATCGAAATATATTCCAAAGATTACTTTTTACGTAATTTTAAATAAATCATTTTTACAAAGTAACCAAAAAAGTTCTTGCCATTTTTGATATGGCATTGGAAAAGCAAACGCCCAAACGTAAAAATAGTTGCCAAATCTGGAGATGAAATGGTTAGGATGGGAGTCCAAACATTCATCAAGAGTATGAAAGTGCGTTGCATTGGTACTTTAAACATAACTCACACAGCAACTGATTGAAATGGACGCGTCAAAGGCATTTATTCGGAGTTGTTTGCTGTATGATTTTTAAAGGGGCTTATCAGCAGTAGAATGAAGTCACCGAATTTGTGAGGCCTTTGGGAATGATGCCGTTAACAAACGAACTGTTAAGCAATGGTTTTAGAAGTTCAAGTCGGAATATGTCTCTTAGTGATGCGCCACGCAGAGGTCGTTCAGGTCGGGGTATGTCTCTTAGTGATGCACCACGCTCATTGTCACAAGCGCTGGACAATGAGGCCTTGAGAGTAGCCATACAGAGTGACAGTAGCCAAACATGTGGTGAGCTTACTGCACACTTCCAGGTATCTGATGATATGATCAGACTCCATTTGCACCTCATAGGAAAGGCATACAAGCTGAGCAGGTGCGTATCCCACTCACTATTCGATGCAAACAAGCAACAGCATGTCTCTGCCTGTTTGTCATTGCTTACCTGCCACTGCAGTGCATCCATATTTGATCGAGTACTCAACAGCAATGAAAAGTGGGTCCAGTATGACACACCTAGGTGTTGCAGACATTGGTTGTCACCACGGGACCCTGTGCCTCACACTGAAAGACCATCTCTTAACCCACGCAAGATCATGCTCTGTATCTGGTTGACTAGTCGCCGAGTGGTGCATTATGAACTCCTGCCATTGGGCCAAACCATCAGGGAAGGCATGTAATCACAGCAGTTGGAATATGTGCACCAGGTACTAATGCGTAAAGAGTCAGGTCAATCGTAAGGGTGTACTCCTCCTCCATGACTATGCAAGGCCGCATGTGGCTCGGGAGGCCAGGGACACCATCCAGCGACTGGTCTGGGAGACACTACCACATCCGCCAAGTCCCCAGACCTCATGCCAACAGACTACCAACTTTTCCATTCTCTGTACAACCATCTTTGTGCGAAATCCTTCAACAACCGACCAGATCTCGTAAAGGCCCTCACAGACTTCTTTGTGTCCAAGACTTGCGAGTTTTACTACGATGGCATTGCACAGCTAACCACTCATTGGCAAAAGGCATTGAATGCTGATGGTGATTACTTTGAGGATTAACAGTGATTATTATTTGTTTTATTCCTTTTTATTTCTGACTGTCCAAAACGGCAAGAACTTTTTTGGTCACCTTGTAAAAAATAGCAGTATTTGAAACTGAAAACTTGTTTGGATATTGTACTCAATTAAGAGTGTAATGTTAGAACTCTGGCTGTATTTAATGCACATAATTTATATTATGTAAACAGGAAAGGAAAATACAATACTGAATGTTATTTTCTTATCAGATTTTTAAAATTTTAGAAAACACAAATTGCTATTTTCAGTTGGTATTCAGTTAAATGTATTTACAAATCTACTACATAACATAAAGTTTGTTGAAATAAACTTTTATATGGTTGTAAATACTTAATCAGTGTTTCACAAAAATTTTTTGTGCCATATCTCTCTTGGAGAATGTATCTTAAGATACTGTTTTTTTCTTAAGAGGCATACGAAAGGCAACTCGGGATAAAATTTCAGGGGAGGATCTTGAATATACAGCAGTAACTCAGCAGACATCTTTTTTGGATGTCAAAACTTTTGTATATAATATGACTAGAACTCGGTGAGTAGCAACTGCATGTTCTTCACTTTTTCTCCTCTTTCGAGACAATGCTATGATTGCCCATGAGCGTCAGTTCACTTGTTACATATTTAGTAAATAACATACACTACAACCTTGAATTTTCAAGTAGTTTTGTGTTATACATATTTTGTAAATTCATTAACTATGAGTTTTAGGAAAGTTGATGGAGAAAAGTAAAGCACTGAAGAAAATGGTTAGAATAACCATGGAGGTAAAAAAAGAGATTGTTGAAACTTATGAAGATTGCATGCATATCTGGAAATTGGCTATTATCATATGCCAAGTACAATGGTGTCTGCAAATGTGAAAAGCAAAGACGATATTAAATCAGCTTATGTTCCGAAGGGGGTGAACTCGATCACCAAGCAAAGATATTGATATATCTTTGCTTGGATATATCAATATTATATAGATATTTGATATATCTTTGCTTGGATATATAAGCCTGTTAAAAATTGCTTTTGATCTGGATATGCACTATGTATATTTTACCCACTGCATTTGGATTTTAGTATCAGACAGTGTTATAACTGGGGGATTTTTTATAAGAAGAGATTATTTTCTCTCTATATTTTATTGGAAAGTTCATTTTGTATACTTCCATATGGAGCTTGATCACTATGTATATATTCTGAGACACATTTGACTAAATATATTTAATGGCAATTTGCTGTTCCAAATGTGTACTTTACAATAGATATGTTTAAAGACAGAACTTGAACGAATTTGCATTACAGTATTTTGGAAATATTTTCTACATGTCATCAATAAGAATAACAAATGTTATCGTGAAAATATTTTGTTAGTACACTTATCTGCACAAATATTTTCATGCAATAAATTCAATGATAATATAAATATTTTTTACATTTATTTCAAATGCAGTACTGGAAATCTATCTTAGTAGTCATTGCCTATTATAAGTTTATATACTTATATTATGTAGCAAATAAATTTTGAAAGCCTAACTACCAATTTTTAGGGGTCATTGAATCTCAAATTAGAAGACTATGGTTTTTGTGTGTACAAGAATAAAAACTTCAGTATGCTCACTCTAGAGCTTTTCATATTAGTGATGGAACTATCTGCTATTGATGATTATCTTTTATATTTATGTACTATTTGTTGTAGCAGTATAATTTTCTTAACATTTTTAAAATATTCTAAGTTATTGACACTTATAATTAAATATTTAAAAAAAATTCATATAAATGACTAGAATTCTAAGATGGAAGATGGTATTAAAACAGATTTAAGAAGAAAGGTGGAGATATAACATCCTTAAAATTACTTTGAGTTGGACATTATTTTTGTTGCTTATCAATGATTTCCAGAAATTTGTTTCACATTTTACTACAATGGCTAATATTTGTATTTAGCAATGACTCATTTTTTACCACAGTTAATGCATTATCTGCTAGTGCTTTACTGAAATACTAATTTGATTTCATTGAATATGTTATGAAAATTTTTACTGCTGAAGAAGAGGGACCTGTGTCTGATTGATTGAATAATTTATATAATAATTTTCATAACTAACGACCTGGAATTTTTTCATGTCAGGATGACCCTTTTTTTTTTTTAACAATACTCGTTAGCATTTGCATAGAAGCTATTAAAAGCTTCAATAAATTGCTACATGTATATGAAAAAAAAG